CTGCCTGGCCTGCTGTGTTCCTCCAGCTCCACACTGTGTTATCTCAGACTCCAGCATCGGCAGTTCTTACTATCTCTGAATAATTTGAGCCTGGTAGTTCTGGGTGAGGGGTCAAGGCTGGGATACTGTAAGTGTCCAGGTGGACTTAAGATGAGTGAGTGAGTGCAAGTGAATGCCCTTTAATGCACTTTGTTTGGATCCATGAGCTGGGTGCCTGCACCTGCACACAAAAGTTTCCTTCCAGCAGCATTTCAATGCTAGTCCCAATGCACCCTCAAATTCAGCTTTATAATGCAAAACTATCCTATAAGTAGATCGGAGATGTACCACAATGGTCCTCAGAGACTGACTGGTATCAGATGGCAGCATCCACAGATACGGGGTGCATACAGCTGGTGAGCTGGAGCGTGCCCTGACGTGTCATTGCCCAGTGTCCAAGATCACAGTCTGGAAGAGTAAGAAGTGAGTTGAAATCACTAGATAATTGCTCAGGCTTTCATGTTGGAAATTGTTAACATCCATGTTCCTCGTAGTGTACTTTCCTCAAATTGGATGCTGCATATTAATGAGGTGAGTTTTGCAGTTAATGAAGTCAACAATCAACAATAATCCCTGTCAATAGGCATCCTATCATGGCCTATTCAGAATCTCATCTTGATGCTATGAACACTGTTTAAAAAGGCAACAAGTTGCTCCTGATGTTGAAACAGGTCTTGCCCTAATTCTCATGTAATTCTCTCAGATTGCTCACCTTAGCCCCATCATTCAGGCTCTCTCTATAAGGTTTCACCCATTGTTCCCAATTGTGTATTTGAGATGCATTGCAAATTCAACATATTATTCCTTTAAAAAGAAAAAAAAATCTTAATTAAAGAAAAATGTCAGAATTAGTTGTGTTTATGCACTCAGCCCACATTGTAGCCACAGGGTGACCAGCTGAACAATTGACCCTAATGTGTTTCTGGCCACTGGCAGAAGTTACAGTGTTAACTTACCCCTTTCATCCTTCTCCAATAACCACGTCCATAGTTCCCTCAAAGTTGTGCCCGAGTTAACAGGGTTGTAAAGAAGGCGAATGGTGTATTGGCTTTCATTGTCAGGGGAATTGAGTTTAAGAGCAGCAAGGTTTTGCTGCAGCTCTATAAAACCCTGGCTTGACCACACTTGGAATATTGTGTTCAGTTCTGATCACGTCATTATTGGAAAGATGTGAAAGCTTTAGAGGGAGTGCAGAAGAGATTTACCAAGACGCTGCCTGGACTGGAGGGCAGGTCTTATGAGGAAAGGTTGAGGGAGCTAGGGCTTTTTTCATTGGAGCGAAGAAGGATGAGAGGTGACTTGACAGAGGTGTACAAGATGATGAGAGGCGTAGATAGAGTGGATAGTCAGAGACTTTTTCCCAGGACGGAAATGACTATTACGAGGGCACATAATTTTAAGGTGATTGGAGGAAGGTATAGGGGAGATGTCAGAGGTAGGTTCTTTACACAGAGTGTGGTGGGTGGGTGGAATGCACTGCTGGTAGTGGTAGTGGAGTCAGATACTTTAGAGACTTTTAAGCAACTCTTGGATAGGCACATGGATGATAATAAAGTGTAGAGTATGCAGGGTAGATTGATCTTAGTAGGATAATAGGTCGGCACAACATCGTGGGCCGAAGGCCCTGTACTGTGCTGTATTGTTCTATGTTCTACGTTCTATGTTCTTAACCCCCAAATGTCTGTCAGTCTGTTAATACTGGCATTGTCATTTCAAGTTTCTTCAGTAGAGACAAGTGTTTTGACTTGTCTGAGTCTGATATCATTAAAGTCACTGCTTATTTTATGAAGAAAATATTTGATTGCTTTATGAAAGATCTTGAGTGATGATTCTGTTGAACCTAATACTATACACTTGGAAACCAAGAAAGTCAGTGCTGAACGAATTTAAGACAACAATTAAGTCCTTTCTAAATCTTATTGTCCAAGAAAATATTCATAAGAATAACACAGCTGAAATAATTATCAACTGTATCTTGGATATTCTGTAACCAACCTCTTCAGAGATGTAATTACAAACCTTTGGATCAGATGGGGATTGAACTTCTGGTTCAAAGGTGCAGACACTACCGCTGTGCCACGAGATTCCCTGCTGTGTCATGGAAACTCTATTAGTTAATTTGGATCAGACAACATGTTATCTGGCTCTGTTTGAAATCCTGTTAAGTGCAGAAAGTTAAGCCACAGATTTCACGTTCATGCCAACAACTGATACTTCAACATAAAAGGTGTAAAAATGAATAATTAAATTAATTAAAAATGAGCTGGTAGAACTTATTCCTGGTCAGGAATTGCTTTGACTTTTGCTTTAGATTTTCCTTCGTAGCAGAATGTTCTCCAGGGCAAATGAAGCCCTCATATCAGTAATCTAGAACTCAAAAAAATAGCAATTTCTGCAATGTAATTAAATGTCTGCATTTGGAAGGTAGCTGATTTTTGACAGGTAATCTATCAAAATAGCTGGGAGGCAACAATTACCATTTTGTAGTACTACAGTCCTTTTAAGTAAACTAAAAATTCAATCTGCATAGCTAATGCAGAAATTATACATCAGTCAAAACATTTGCATTTATCTGAATTTCAAATAGAATGCTCCCTTTATCAAAGGGTCATTGTGTTGAAGGTTAGGCAAGCTGAAGGAGTGTTTAATCTTTCCTCCTCCAGAGAAGATTTAGCAATTCTCAGCCCATTTCCTGGATGCTGATTGTCCTTCAAATCCTCCAATACTGTAGGTGGGCAGCCATAAGACCATAAGAAAGAGGAACAGGAGTAGGCCATTCAGCTCCTCAAGCCTGCTTCTCAATTAAATAGGATCACAGCTGATCCATGTGCATGTTTTCATCCAGAAATATGCTAGATCATAAGATATATGAGCAAATGAGGCCACGCAACCTATCGCATCTGCTCTGCCTTTGATCATGGCTGATACGTTTCTCAACTCCATTCTCTTGTCTTCTCCTCTTACTGACCAAGAACCTGTCTATCTCTGTCTTAAAGACACTCACGTAATGTCCTTTCACTCTGAGGCTGTACCCTTAAGTCCTAGTCTCTCCTATTAGTGGAAATATCTTTTCCTTCTCCTCTTTAACCAGGCCTCTCAGTATTCTGTAAGTTTCAATCAGATTACCTTCTCCATCAAATACAGACCCAGATTCCTCAACCATTCCTCATCTGACAAGATTTTCATTCCCAGGATCATTCTTGTAAACTTCTTCTGGATCCCTCCAACACCAGTACATTCTTCCTTTGATACATGGTCCAAAACTGCTCACAATATTCCTCATGCAGTTTAACCAAAGCCTTATACAGCCTCGGCAGTACATCCCTGTTCTTGTCTTCTAGCCTTCTCTAAAGGAATGCTAACATTGCATTTGCCTTCCTGACAACTGAATCCGAATGTTAACCTTAAAAGAATAATTTACTAGGTCTCCTAAGTCCTTTTGTGCTTCAGTCTTCTGAACCTTTCCTCATTTTGAAAATCGTGTATGGTGTATGCTTCTATTCTTCCTGCCAAAGTGCAAAATTTCACATTTTCCCACATTGTATTCCATCTGATTGATTGATTTATTGTTATGCGCACCAAAGTTCAGTGAAAGGCTTTGTTTACGAGCAGTACAGACAGATCATAGTAAGCAAGGATGGACAGATCAAAACGACTCAGACAATGGTACAGGTTCTGAGGAAGGGTCACCGGACCCGAAACATTAACTCTGTTTTCTCCTCCACAGATGATGCCAGACCTGCTGAGCTTTTCCAGCAACTTTGTTTTTGTTCCTGATTTACAGCATCCACAGTTCTTTTGGTTTTTAATGGTACAGATTACATTGGATTCTGCCACTTCTAAGCCCAAACTCCTAGCCTGTCTAAGTTCTACTCACTATATTGAATGTGTTGATCCCACTGAGGTTGGAAGGACCACCGAGAACATTCAAAGGTGCAGAAATTCTTTGCAGAATCTGTTCTCAACTTTTGAATGCCGCTGTGTTTTATTTACTGCATACAAGCATCATAGCAGGTAAATGGAATGGAGGTATCAATCAGTCTTGATGCAACTGAATTGCAAACCCAAGGAGCTGAATTATTTTGTTGTGCTTCTTTGTAACTGGGAGAGATTTGAGATCTTCAAGCATTTCATTGACATTCAATGCATCTTCTTGAAATCTGAACCATTTCTTTATAGATTAAGTATTACAGTTAAGAATAACTTACTCATGGTCTGGATGTAAATATGGAATGCAGAACAAAATTGGTAAATCAGAGTTGAATGATATTTTGTTTGCTGAGTTGAAAGTTACAGTTTATTTCTCTTACAATTATTACATTGCAACAAAATAAAAAAAATATCATTTTAAAAATATTTTTACATGGACAAAATTGATGTTTAATCCAAAAATGCTGTCACAGTTACATTACTGTAAAATGTGATGTATTTACTGTATGTCTTTGGCAAAAATATATTTGTGATTAATTCCATTTATTTCAGATCTTCAATCAAACTGACATGAAAGCTCTGCGGAGAAAATCTGTTTTACTTACTGGTTACTTGGAGTGCCTGATCAAACATTACCATTCAAAGGTTCCAGATAATCCACAGAAACCATATGTCACTATCATTACTCCCTCTGATATTGAAGAACGAGGCTGCCAGCTCTCATTGGTTTTTTCAATACCTACCAAGTCAATTCTTGTGGAATTGATGAAAAGGGGAGCTGTAGTAAGTAGAATTTTGGCATTTGCCATTTACTGCTGTGAGCAACTCGGGCTTATCATAGATACGCTCTCAAATACAAAAACAACTTCAGTTCTTTACTTATTTTGCAATTGAACTTCATTGCCTAGATCTACTTGCACATAGTCACAATGTGGCAATGTAAGAAAAGCATTCTTACGTGATTTGGATCAGATACTTAAGTCATTCAGACATCTGGGGTTAAAAATTCATGGGGTCTGATTTTCGACTGCAGGGATTGCAATTTAAGGCCCAAGTCTGCTGATTCCAAGTGACCTGAAAAGCAGATAAGTTTTATACACCCATCTTATCTACATGACTGTAGCATGTGTCTGAGTTCTTCCTATGCTGCTTCCTTCTTCTGTGCACTGCTAGCTCCTTCTCTGCTCAACAGGAGAGCCAAGTAGGATTGTGCACAATCCACATAATGTAATAGGCCTACACTTCTTAAAGACAGGCTGTCTCTCTTCAAGGAAGCTGCACTGTATAATGTTGGTGGGATTTGGCTGGTAGAAATTTGAGCACCAGAGTGGAGAGAAAATATTTGTGGAAATGGATATGACACTGGAGACACTGGTAGAGGAGTTGGTGGGAGAAGACGCCTCCTGGCTCTGCAAAAGGGATTGGACACAGATAGCCGCAGAGATCAATTTTTGATTTGATTTATTATTGTCACATGCAGTGAGATACAGTGAAACATATTGTTTTGCATGCTAATTGGACAAAACATTCCTTACATAAGTACATCATGGTGACAGAAAAGAATGTAGAATATAGTATTACAGCTACAGAGAAGGTGCAGAGAAAGATCAACTTTCATTTCTGAGAGGTTTGTTCATAAGTCAGGTAACAGTGGGGAAGAAGCTGTTTTTGAATCTGTTGGTACATGTTTTCATACTTCTGTATCTTTTGTTCGATGGAAGAGAGTATAACCGGGTGGGAGGGGTCTTTGATTCTGTAGGCTGCTTTCCCAAGTCAGCAGGAAGAGTCGACGAAGACAATGGAAGGAAGGCTGGTTTGTGTGATGGACTCGGCTGTGTTTACAACTCTCTGTAATTTCTTGTGGTCTTGACAGAGCAGTTGCCATACCAACCTGTGATGTATCTGAACGGGAAGCCTTCTATGGTGCTGGTAAAAATCCTGTTGATGTGCCAAATTTCCTTAGCCTTCTGAGGAAGTAGAGGTGTTGGTGTGCTTTCTTGACTGTAGCATTAACGTGGATGGTCCAGGATAGATTGTTGATGATATTTACTCCTTGGAACTTGAAACTCAGGACCACCTGTACCTCAGCACCATTGATGCAGAAAGAGGCGTGCCCTCCACTCTTCTTCCTGAAGTCAATGACCAGCTCCTTCGTTTTGCTGATGTTAAGGGAGAGATTGTAGTCTTTACACCATGCCACTAAGCTGTCTATCTTTTTCTGATACTCTGTCTCGTCAGTGTTTGAGATCCGACACACTACGGTCATGTCATCAGCAAATTTGTAAATGGAGTTAGAGTTAATTTGGCTACACAGTCATGAATGTACAAGGAGTACAGTAAGGGAGCTGAGCACGCAGCCTTGCAGGTGTTGAGGGTTATTGTGGAGGAGGTGTTGTCACCTATCCCTACTGATTATTGTCTGCGGGTAAGGAAGTCAAGGATCCAGTTGCAGAGGGGTGAGCAGAATCCTAGGTCTCAGAGCTTGGAGATATATTTGGTTAGAATTATGGTGTTGTAGGTGGAACTAAAATGTCCTTCTTATCCGAATATTCCAGATATGAATGTAGGGCCAGGGAGAAGGTGTCTACCATGGACCTATTGTGATGGCAGGTGATTTGTAGTGGACCAAGGCAATCTGGGAGGCTGGAGTTGATGCGTGCCATTACTAACTTTGAAAGAACTTCATAATGACGGATGCCAGAGCCACAGGGCGGAGTCATTAAGGCACGTTCCCTGATTTTTCTTTGGCATCGGGATGATTGTGGTCTTCTTGAAGCAGGTGGGACCCTCACATCATAGTAGGGAGAGGATAAAGATGCAAATACTCCGGCCAGCTAGTCCATGCAGGATCTAAGTGCCCGGCTGGGGCCAGTCACATTCTGTGGGTTTGCTCTCAGGAAGGCTGAACCGATAGCTATGGCGGTGATTGTGGGTACAGGTGCACCTGAGGCTTACTCGGGCCAGGTGACGTCATTTCACTGCCTTTCTGTTCAAAATGAGAATAGAATGTATTGAGCTCATTAAGGAGGGATGCATTGCTGTCAACGATTCTACTCATCTGCGCTTTGTAGCCCGTTATGTCATGGACGCCTTTCCACAGTCAATGTGTGTTTATGTAGTTAGTCTGGAATTCTAGTCTAGTCTGGTATTGTCTTTTCACATCCCATCAAAATGTTTACTGCTGAGTAGCTGGCAGATGTCCAAAAGAAGTTTGAAGACATCAGTGGATAATTGAGTTCAATAGATACATTGTTGCATGTCACATCTAACCTGCCAATACCACCAGCCTCTCAGGCAGTATCCCTATCATTTACTCATCAGCTTTCGTTGATTTCAAATCCTATACTTAATATCCAGATACTCCTCTTCACCACCACACACCTGCCAAAGTTTTCACACTTCAGCACAGTGGGTAGTGGTAATGTCACTGGAGTAGTAATTCACATTAACATCCCAGATTAATGCTCTGGGAACATGGATTCGATTTTTAATATGGCAGTGTTTGAAATTTGAATTCAATAAATGTCTGGAATAAAAGGTTAACTAACAACAATCATGGTCAATTTTCGTAGATGGCATCGGACGACTATAAACAGCCACTAACCACCTTCTATCAACACCCCCCACCTCTCTATTTATTTCAGAGCCCCCTTCCCTTCCCCCATTTCTGAAGAAGGGTCCAGACCCAAAACGTTGGCTTTCCTGCTTCTCTGATGCTGCCTGGCCTGCTGTGTTCCTCCAGCTCCACATCTTGTTATTCTCAGATTCTAGTTCCTACTATCTATAAACAGTATTCCTCATCTTGTTTAAGTAAGGATTTAAATGCATTGGAAGCAGTTCAGAGAAGGTTTGCCAGACTAATATCTGGAATGGATAGGTTATTTTATGAGGAAAGATTGGACAGGCGCATGTATCTGCTGGAATTTAGAAGAGGAAGAAGCAAATTGGTTGAAAGCCATAAGATCCTGAGGAATCTCGACAGGATAAATGTGGAGAGCATTTTATCTCTTCTGGGAGAATCTAGAGCCAGCGATCATTGGTTAAGAATAAGGGGTCTCCCAGTTAAAGCGGATGAGACAGAATGGTTTCTCTAGTGATCAATAGACTTTGAAATTCTTGCCCTGGAAAGGTGGTGGAAGCAGAGTCTATGAATATTTCAAATGCAGATGTGGTTAGATTCATGTTAAGCAAGAGAGTGAAAGCTTTATGGGTAAGTGGGAATGTATATTTGAGGTTTCAACTGGACCAGCTGTGATTTTATTAAGTGGCAGAGCAGACTAGGGATTGCGTGCCCAAGATGGCCTACTGCTGCTTCTTGTTCATGTGTAAGGATTGTTAAGTGTATCTCCTAAGCCCTAACGAAAAGATAATTTTCATCACATTAGATGACAATAAGACAGCACAAGTCATCCACTGCCACTGAGAACATCAATTGCACTTTCCTGTCTTATATCCCATCTCAACAGCCAACATACTCTCATCTTTTCTGATGAAGGGTCTAGGCCCAAAACGTCAGCCTCTCTGCTCCTATGATGCTGCTTGGCCTGCTGTGTTCATCCAGCCCTGCACCTTGTTGTCTCTCATACTCTCATCCCACTCTCTGTCTTGATTAGCCACTGGTAGTATGATCACAAACCTCTTGTTACTCAGTCCAAGACCACTTCCCAGTACAAATTTTCCCTTTTGATTTCCTGATTTCAGGCATGAAAATCTGCCACCTGCCTAGCCATAGCATGTACAAGAAAAAGAGAGAACAGCAGCAAAAGAAAAGGCTTCTTAATTTATCAGATTTTGCAGCTACTAGCTTAAATATTGGCACTGGATAAACCTTGGAGGCTAAAATAGTGTGAGGAAAGGCACATAGTGAATCATGCAGGCTCACGTGAGCTGCAGGCTCAAGTGAGCTACAGCCAGGCAGTCCATTTGCCAGTTTACTAGAGAATGAGGTAGCAGCTAAGTTCTGCAGATGCAGTCTCATAATGAGAAATGCCAAGTGAATATGAGTGACATAAAGGAGAACTGACCACAGAATCACAACATTGTGACAATGCAGAAGGAAACCATTTAGTTCATTATGCCTCCACCAGTTCTATTACGTAGTGCCAATCTACTGCCTTTTCTCCACATCCCAGTACACTTTTTCTTTGCAAATAATCATTCTATGGCCTTTTCAATGCCACAATTGAACCTGCCTGCAACACAATTCAAGGTAGTACATTCCAGACCCTAACTACTCACTGGGTGAAAAAAAGATTTTTTTTCCCCATAATGCCCTTGTTTCACACGCACGCCACTTTAAATCTGCAACCTCTCACTGTTTTCTCTTTTATAAGGGGGAGCACTTTCTACCAATCTGTACAGGCTTCGAGCACATCCTGGGCTGCCCCATATGCCCCCTTTTCCTTATAGAATGTCAAGCAGGAAATGCTTGGTGGCGCTGTATGCCCTGACAAATCAATGCAATGTCTCTGAAACACGACCACCAACAACATTGCAGCATTGATTCGCACAACACTGATCTTAACCTTTTTTTTTAAATGTCTCAGAAAAGAGTTAAGGACTTGCTCAATTTTGAACGATTCTTCTGAGTTTAAAGATAAATTCTCAGTCATTTTCAAAAATGGAATTATTCAAATGACCTTTGCTAACTGGAATTCTTACATGATGAGACTTGTAACACTTGCTAAAATATGTTTAAAGCACTGAGTTGCAATCAGCTTGTTAACTGCTTGTGTAATGGACTTCGAGGAACTAATTCAAATCTAGAGACTTCATTATAGTTA